ATCGTGCGGATTTTTTCTGCTAATATTTATCAACTTTTTGATTTAAAAATGTAAAAAGCACATTTTAAAGTGTTTTACTAAAAGTAATTAAGTTAAGTTATAGTGAAATTGTGGTACGCAAGCATAACAAGTGCATTTTTGTTTTGATTTGACATAATTTTTCAATTTTTAAGAATTGGCATTTTTGTTGAGTTTGCAAATAATAGTAGCTAAATTGATTCTATCGATAATTGTGCGCAAATTAATTTCGTTATTCTCATCAACGACTGATTAGCTCTACGAAAACATTACAAAAAATATCCCAAGCAACATCTTCTTTTCCAGTTCCTCCATGTTCGCTTTATAAATTTTCTGCTTCCGTTGTCATCTACCGTGACAATCGATACAGTAATCCTACAGTAACCAGTCCTGTAAGATTAAGTTAAATGGTTTCAACTTACCCAATCTGCATCACTGGCTCTGATACTTCCAACTACAGTGAGTTGCTCGAGATGAAACCTATAAAATGTTTATTTAGCGTTCTGAAAAAGACTAAAAAAATAACTAATTTGTTTATTTTGATTTACGCACCTTAATCTCTTGCTGCCACAATTTATTGCTTGATAATATTCTACTATAGTCTGCATGATATGTCCATTCCAAGCCGAATCCAGCCACAGATGGGTTACTCCAGTGATACGAGATACTGCAACGAGATTACTGTAAGATCAAAGTTCCGCAATTTTGCGTAGGCTGACTTACTGATTGCAGTGAGGACCATTCTGGCATTGGTATAGTTGAATGCGATAGCGCCATTGACAACTTTAAATCCTTGCATATCAGCAAGCACATAGTCTGAAAGAATCAATCAATTATTGAATGCATCGATTTGGAAAGCGAGGGCATTTTTAGCCGAAAAATGGGGACATTTTGAAACATTTGAATGTGGATCGTGCGAAAATTACGGTAATTTAAAGGTCAGGTTCAAGTGGAACGTGAAATTTTCATTCTGCACACATTAGCACGATTCCAATTCTTTTTAAAATTCGATTGTTCATAATCAAAATTTTTTCTTCTGCTTTTGTATCCTCAGGCCCACTTGCTTTTCTATTTTCTTCTGCTTAACCCAAATTGATTCCAAATTTTTTCTAGTATATTACTTGAATCTCAAGATCTTACCTATAAGCACGTCCATATAATCGCAGTGCAGCTCGATATTTCCTCGAGCATCGGACCTTATAAAAATAAACGGCAAAATCAATGGCATTCGATCCACTATGTCGTGAACTCGTCGTGACAGCTGAAAATTCAAAATCTTCATTACAGCATATGACTTCGTACCTACCGAGCTAAAAAATAATTTTGGGTATACGGTAGCATACGGTAGCACAGCATTCCCAGAAAATGACTTACCACTCTCATTCGAACCCTCTCGTTGAGATCGAGTCTTTTCAAAATTTCTTCCATAGCTGCGTCATCGAGCGTAACGACATGTGGTACATGAGGTTTTGGAACTTTCTTCATCAAATTTTTCAGTTTATGTCGGCATTCCGCAAATTTCTTCTTGGCATTGCGCCAAAGCATTCGCGATCGGTTCATAGTTTCTGAAAGTCATAAAGGCTAATTTATTTATATTTATAGTCATGTACGATGGAAAATAGCGAACTATCATAATTATGAGATTAAATGAGCTTCTAATCATTCAGGAAATGATGATGTGAGAGTGAGGAGAATAAAATACGAATCTCGGAATTCTTTTGAAAGCAATGACCGTAATTCTCTCTGAAATGAAGAGCGAAGAGTTGGGGTGAGTCTTTGAAGAAATTTTCGTGAAGTTGAGAAAAATTTGAACAAACTAGTAAAAATTTGAGCTAACTAAGCAAGCAGTTTATTTTAACTATATAGTGGAGAATACTTTACATCTAGTGATGTATGAAAAAGGACTAGATAAGCGTTTTTATCATTTTTATAAATCACTTTTGAATTTAAGGTAAGAGTGAGGAAAAGAGAGAAGGGGAGGGAAGTGAGAAGAAAAGGCATGCTATAGTCGTAAAATTATAGTAATAAACATCATTCTAACAGAGATTACAAAACATTTTAGAAAGCCTATTAATGCTTGAAGCTTTTTTTGCTCAATCCAGAGCTAACATGAGTTGATCCTCTCCTACAAATTTTTTTCTTTCCTCGTAACTTCTGTTGACCGTTCACCATTAGCTTTGGACAGAAATTTCTCAGGATGGTAAAATCAAAATTCTGTTGAAAAAATTCTGTTATTGCGACACTAAGTCCTTTAAAACTCAACAAAAGAAAGAAACATGCAGTGTTTTGATGTCCTGCTTTTTATTCTTTTTATTACCCTACAAGGCACACAATTTCTACTATTGTATGCTGAGACAGAGTGAAGCTTTACTTATGAATGAAAGATACAAATGCGGGCTACGAATCGCTGATTCAAAGTAGCATAAAAAGGTATAAACGATCACAAAACATGTG